AAACCTACTTCTTAGGCTACATGCCTTCTCCCAGTGTTCCACAGCCTCTCAAAACAGCATGAGCATCAGAGGACCCAGTGCTCAAACACATGAGTTTGTGTGTGTGTGTGTGTGTGTGTGTGTGTGTGTGTGAGCATCTTAAGTGTGTCTCTGTCCCACAACTGAAAATTCACTCGCAGTAGAGCTACAGGATTGCTACGAAAATTATCTCTATAACTAACACTACCAATAAATGTGGCGTGTGCATTTTCACTGTTGTAACAACTAAGCACTTCCTATGTATCTGCAGAAATGACACAGTGACACCATATAATTACACTCAATGGTACACACACCTGATGGGAGATGTCATTCTGTAAATATGTTTCTCATACTGGTTAATGAATAAAGAAAGCACTGTTGGCCAATAGGAAAGGAAGATAGGTGGGACTAGGAGAGAAGGAGGAAAGAGGAAGTAGTAAGGAGGGGTCAAGATGGAGAGTCTGGGGAGATGAGACACCTGCCCCATTCCCCAGTAAGATAAGACCATGTAGAAATACATAGAAATGGTTTAATAATTAAGACAGAGCTAGCTGATAAGAAACTAGTACCTGGCTAACAGCGTTATATCAGAGTCTCGGTGTATTAATTGGGGCTGGCGTGGTGGTGGGACAAGACCAGCGGTGGGCAAAAAACCATACTCCTTACATATGGTGCCCACGTGGCTAATAAGAACTTCCACTTAAAATTTAAAAAAAAGCAATTAGTTTACCACAGGACCCGGCAATCCCCCCTCTGAGGCATATACCCAAATGATACACATCTATGCAACAAAGACATCTGTTTAACTATGTTCATAGCAGAACTATTTGCAATAGCAAGAACCTGGAAGCAACCTAGATGCCCCTCAATTGAAGAATGGTTAATGAAGATGTGGCACATCTACACAATGGAATACTACTCTGCAGAAAAAAATAATGGTACCTTGAAATTCACAGGCAAGTGGATGTCACTTGAAGAAACCATCCTGAATGAGGTAACCCAGTCACAAAAAGAGGAACACAGTATGTACTCACTCATATATGGATTTTAGACATAGAGCAAAGGATCACCAGCCTATAATTCACACCACCAGAGGAACTAGGATACAAGGTGTATTCTAAGAGATTCATATAAAGTCCCTCACAGAACCGGGAAGGGACAAGTCCCCCAGAGCATATAGGAAGTGGCGGGGGCAGTGAATGGAGAGAGAAGTAGGAGAAAACAAGGGGGAGGAAAGGAAAATACATGCGACCAGGAAGATTGAGCCCGGTTAGGAATAGAAGACAGGAAAAGAGAAAGAGAGAGAGAGAGAGAGAGAGAGAGAGAGAGAGAGAGAGAGAGAGAGAGAGAACATAAAAGAGGGAGCCAATATTGGTTTGAAGATAAAATTGAACACAAAGAAAGGTCTAGAGAACTACAAGACTGCCGCCAACTAACAATTTGAGCTTCCGTGGAAAGGCTACCATAAATGCCCTTCCAGGAGAGTGAGATCAACAACTAACTTATCCATGGAGCCCTCAACTAATGTCTGTTGGAAACAAGAGCAAACATCCATACATAAACACTGAGTCGAAGTAGAACCCAGATGCAGATGGAGAGGACAAGACCAGGCAGCAGAAACCCATAGAGACAGCTTACCTGAACAAGGAGGAGCTAATGGGCCACTAGACTGATAGCTGGGAAGCCAGCATGGGATTGACTCAGCCCCCCCCCCCCCCCCCCGAATATGGGTCTCATCCAGAAGGACTGAGCAGTCTAAGGGGCCTCAGACAATGGAGCCAGGATGTATCCCTAATGCACAAAAGGACCTTGCGAACACATCCCCCATGGAGGGATAACTGCCTTAATCTAGAGAAGCCCTGGTCTCTACTTCACATGACCTGTCAGATCTACATGACCCCAACTGGATGGCATTCCCCTACATATGGAATTGTGGTGGGGGGTTGGGAGGGGAGGGTGGTTAGGGTGCATGTGAGAGGGCAGAGAGGGTAAAAGGGAGAGAAGGTGGGAGGGAGGGAGGGAGAGAGGGAGAGGGAACTGGGATCGACATGTAAAATAATAAATTAAATAAAAAAATTGCTTTGACTCCAAAATTTAAGTTGAAGGACAAGTTACTGGGGGAAAGGATTTCTATTTTTGTTTCCACAGAAAATGAAAAGCTGTGGATTCCTTCCAGACTAATGTGGTTTGATCAAGCCAGACTGCCTGAAACAGAGTACCAGGTGATTGTACATTCAAAGCAGCTGGACAAAGCAGCATTGCAGACTACATCCAGGATTTCTGCATCTTCTTAGAATCCCCCATGATAGCGCCCCTTACCAGCAGGAAGTAGTTTGGAAAGAACGATGCCCAAATTCCCAAATATTGTCTATAAATGTTTGTTTTCATTTAAATGGACTTGGTTATGTAAAATAAAAAAAAATTTTAAAAAGCTTAAAAAAGTGTTTTAGAAACAAAATAACAGAGACAAGCAAGGCTTCTTGGTAGTAGCATTATTCTCGATTGGATTCTGTTTTGTGAGAGACAAGCAGATATTTGCGTGGCCCCTTTAAGGGAGGTTTCCTGACTCAGCATAAGCGGGGAAAAAACCGCAGGGCTTTGAAAAAGCACTGCTAACAATTTATTGGTGTGTATGAGAGCTGGCAGTGGCAGTGTCCACATTTCCATGCTGGCAGCATGCTGCTGGATGGCAGGGCAGACCAAGGCAGTGAACACAGCTCTCAGTGCTGGCAGTAAAGGTACCCACTGCCACCTTTGATAAACCGTGGCAAAAACAACTATGACTTTCATTTTAGCAATGTTATTTACCAGATAAAATACTTGTGGCCAGAAAAATATAAAGATTTACAGTAAAGTCAGATTCACAAAAAAAAAAAAAAAAAAAAAAAAAAAGCAAAGGTTTACAGTGTGTTCTAAAATATATGTAGGCTTGGGAGAAAAAAGGAATAAAATGGAGCTGGATGTGGTGGCACACACCTTTAATCCCAGCACTCAGGAGACAGAGGCAAGCAGATCTCTGTAATTAAAAGTGAATTCCAGGACAGATCAAAGTTACACAGAGAAACTCTGTCTCAAAAAATGAAAAAGTAGAAGAGAGTAATAATAAAGCCACGTAAAAATGAAAAGCTCAGAGAGAATCTGTATACTGTATGACATTATATTGTCTTTATATCATTTGACTGCTGAGGAAACAACTGTGAAAGGAAATACTGCTGGATTAATTCAATTTATATATTTTAAAAATGCTTTGACTTCAAAATTTAAGTCTAAGGACAAGCTACTGGGGAAAAGGATTTCTATTTTTGTTTGACAGAAAACGAAAAGCTGTGGATTCCTTCCAGACTAACGTGGTTTGAGCAAGCCAGACCCCCTGAAACACAGTCACAGGTGATCCAACATTCAAAACAGCTGGGACAAGCCAGCCTTGCAGACTACAGCCAGGATTTCTGCTTCTTCTTAGGATCCTCATGACAGCGCCCCCTATCAGCAGGAAGCAGTTTGGAAAGAACGATGTCCAAATTCCCAAATATTGTTTATAAGTGTTTGTTTTCATTAAAATGGGGTTGGTTATAAAGGGTTAATGATCACAACCAATATTTTGAAATGTAAAAATGGAATTATGGTATAGATATGAATACTTTGTGTTGGAATAGATTTTCATTTATTGATAAAATTTAAAGTCAGTCTTATGATGTGTATATTTCTCCTTTGTTTAGCTATTGTGTTTATATAGCTCATTTAGAAATGTAATGTTTAATGTAGTACAAATTATAGATAATTACCTATGATAGTCAAAGCTTAGAGTTAAGTTAGTTAGGTTTTTCAAGATACACAGAGATGTATTTGAGATAGATAGGAATTCTTCACACCTTTCAAAGACCTACAGAATGTGTCATTTAAAGTTGTTTAGGGTTTTTCTTGACAATGAGGCACAATTGCTCCTGGCAACACCACCTATGTCAGAAAGGAAGATGGACATCAAAGAAATACGTATGGAGCTTGCTTCCAGTATGGAAAGACTAGCCATTTGGACAAGATGCTGCTCTTGTCTGGACTGTTTGACTTTGTGAGGTATAATCTGGACATGCAGGACCCATAGAAAAGTGACTAGTGATTCAAGATGGACATTGCTACACAGTTCCTGCTTCATGGAAGAGTCTGCCAAACAGTCTGCAGGACACAGAGAAAAATGACTGACAAACTGCCAGTACAAGAAGACAATTTAAGTTTCCTGCTTTGCTGAAGAGCCTGCCAGACACAATATGGTCTATGGGCTGAAAATGGAAGATTACAGAAGAACTTCAGGTGACTGACAAGGCAAGATGTCTCTATCATTTCTAGAGTTTATATATTATCCTTCTGTGGTCTTTGATGGAGTTGAAGACTGATAGTTATGGTTATAATTTTCCTTAGTTAGGATTAAAGATAAGTTACATAGACTTTAGACACACAAAGATAGGATATATGATGAAATATTTTCTTAAATCTGGCTAAATGTTAATGGACTAAATATTGTTAACTGTGATTCTTATTTTATAACTATTGTGTGATATATTTTGCTATGCTAAGGTAAAAATCCTTCTTTTTATTTTAGGCAGAAGAGATGATGGGAGATGTCATTCTGTAAAATCCTGTAAATATGTTTCTCTTACTGGTTAATGAATAAAGCATTGTTGGCCAATAGGAAAGGAAGATAGGTGGGACTAGGAGAGAAGGAGGAAAGAGGAAGTAGTGGGGAGGAATCAAGATGGAGAGACTGGGGAGATGAAACACCTGCCCCATTCCCCGGTAAGATAAGACTACGTGGAAATACATAGAAATGGGTTAATACTTAAGACAGAGCTAGCCGATAAGGAACTAGTACCTGGCATTATATCAAATACAGAATCTCGGTGTATTAATTGGGGCTGGCGTGGTGGCGGGACAAGACCGGCAGCGGGAGGAAAAACCTTAGTCCTTACACACTCCATATGCTCTTAGGCTTGGCCACCTTTATTATTCTGGATTATATCCAATTCTGATTGTGAGATGGTCTGAAGCATCTCTGAAGACTCTGCCCTGAAATGACAGAGACAGCAGAGGAGGAAGTCATTGTGCTTAGACCTTTCACATCACGGAACAATTAGAGTTCTTCTTTTTCATCTTGATCTTCCAAATTTCTTCCTCATGCTTTCTGTTCTGTTTCTTGAGTTTTTCATTAAAAATTTCCTTTTGTACCTGAAAAGAGAAACTGGACATTGAAATCAGGACAGAGTGACATCACCCCAGTAAGAATGTCTATCATCCAGAGAGCAAGGGACAACAATGAGGATGTAGGGGACAGGAATCCCTATATACTGCTGGTTGGGATGTAAATTAAATTATTACAGCTACTTCAGAAGTCAATCTGAAGGCTCCTTCAAAAACTTAAGAGAGAACTTCCATTGGATCCAGACATGTCACTTCTGGTTATACATCCAATAGAATGAAAGTCAGCACACTACAGAGAAACTGGCATCCTCATGTTTATTATGAAACTCTCCCCCCCACAACCTGCTTATACAATCAGACTGGATGTTCTTTAATAACTGAAAGAAAGAGGAACATTGTCATATGCATACAAGTATATATCTTTCAGCTACAAATGAGAGTTCAGTTACAGTATTTTCAGGTAAGTGGATGGAAATGATATAACCCAGGCACAAATTAGATTTTTTTTGTCTCATGTGGAATCCAGAGAGGGTAGAGAAGGACACATAGTTAAAGTGGAAAAACTAGGGCAACAGAGAAGGGGGAGAGGGGTTTTTAGAGACTAACAGAACAGCATCAAATCTGGTTATGCAGTATTGAAAATGCTATAAAGTGTGCATAGTGTGACTCAGACTCAAGGCCAGGAGAACAGGAAAGCACCTACAATCAGTGCTTTTAAGCAACCATAAACAGGTGAAACTACTTTTTAGGGTGCTCACAGGAATAAAGATGAATAGAGATGGCAAAACCAAGGCCACTGTGGACTGTACTATGTGAGAGGATCATGCCAGATGTCCATCCAGGAGTAGTATCTCAGAACACTTTCTATCTTTCAGGAATGGTAACTCTTCAGTAAATAAAAAGACACAAAGTGTCAGTGGAGTGGTCCAAGACTGCATTGTCAGATTTGGGATTCTAAAGAGGGATGATCTTAAGTGCTATTCTAGCTTGAGCTTCACGAGAGACCCTACCTAACAAACACAAACAATGAGATAAAAGGGTAATAGAGGAGTCCTGTGCCCTTCAACAAGTACTGTTCAATGTGGTTAAAGTACTTCGTGAGAAAATTAAGATTTCACAAGGAATTACCTGAAGCTTATTGCTCAAGGTCTCCTCTTGCTCTGCCATGAGCCTCGCTGTGTCCCTGTCCATTTTCTCAGTCAACTGTTTCAAATAATCCTCAAAATCTTTTGTTTTCTGGTCCATAATCTTCACATTTATCTCTTTCATCTCCTTCAACATTTTTGCTGTGTTCTCAGTTTGTGCAGATTCCACTGACAATAAAAAATATGAGCAGAAAAAATGTAGGATCAGCATGTAGTTTCTCCCTCCCTCCAATGTTTATTTGTTGATTCTTTATGGTGGGGGTGGATTTCTAGGGGAAGTATTTCTTCTGGAGTGACCATAGCTTGTCTAATAGGTATGACTTTCAAGAGTGAAGACACATCTTTGCTCTTTTTGCTATAGTGCAATAGAGCCAGGACAAATGAGGGGTCAGTGGTTACCTTTGGGCTTCATTGACAGGGGAGTTAGAAGATCTACAGACTTGCTTTTCACAGGGCCAAGACTCCTCTTGAACAGCCACCTTGGGCCTTCACACACTGACTTTAGGCTGATTCAGATGACTAAGCTTTCAAGGGACCACTTAACAAAACCTATTTTATATAACTAATGTAAAATAAAGTTTAAAATTCAAAAAGAAACATTTTCTTCAATGTGAGATGAAATATTATTCAGTTAACCCCTAGTAGTGATACTTTGTTGGGTGTAAAATTCCTTTGCTCATCTAATTTTCTCTATATTCATGTCATCCCTCCCAGATTCGACAGTGGGAGTAAACCCTTAAATAACAGCATGAGTCTAGAAGTATTGTGTGGATGAGGAAAGAGAAATGTACCTTAATCAGAATACACAATAGCTCTTTATTCAAAATATATCTTATCATAAAATTTGTATTTTCTCTAAAATATATGTAAGACATATAGTAGGCACTTAACCATTCTTAAAACCATAATCAGTAAAAAAACAAGAGGGACATCAAAATAAATTGCCTTGGTCACAACTCTTGTCCTTTATGCACTGGGTTCATTTTTGCAGTGTTTGTGGGCCAGTGTCTCTGCTAGCATGATCTGCTCATGTTTAGTGATATTGATTGCCCTTGAGCCCTGGTGATAGTGGGATGGGGAGATATTGATTGTACAAGTGCAGAGTCTATTACATTTTAGGAGCATTTCTCTGTTTTTTGCCTCTATATCCTGAATCTCCTTCTGATGTTTTCTTCTCTCTTCAGAGATTTCTTCCTTGAGATGTAGTTCACGCTCCTGAGGAGGAATAGGATGGTTAACGAGGCATAACATAAAATTGTTTTATATTATCTAATTACGTTCTCTTTCATTTTTCAAATTAATTTTCTTTTAAGTTAGCCTTCGATCTATCTTATAGCATGTTACTTTTTCTTGAGGCTCCTGTGTTTGGAATTATTTCCTAAGCACTGCTTCAGTCTTTAGAAGAGGCTCATTCGTGGAGTCCTGAAGTATTGCTGTTGTAGAGTTCTATTTTGGGATACTTGATCCCATAGGTAACATAATTGTGTATAATTAATACCATCCTTTTCTTCTCTGGCTTCCTTCTTCTACAGCATAGGCATTCATTTCAAAATAATGGTCACATGTGGGGGTTTCTTCATGGTGCTCAGACACAGGTATAATTAGATCATGAATTCTAACAGGATTATTTATTAAGAAAGTAAAATTGAGGATACTGGGAGTACAGCTGCAAAGAATACAATTCTGAGTCAACATATGGACTCTTCAGATTTAGAGGAAGCCCTGCGAACAGTTAGGGTGGAAACAGTAAGGAGAGCATCTCCCCATGTGTTTCAACAAACACAACAAACACAACAAACACAAAAGTCACCATTGATTCCACTAGGCAAAAAATATATGTGAGTTATCTTTATCATGATATGTGACACAGAAATTACTTATCTTCAGCCACAGTTCTCCTTTTAGAAAAGGTAACAAATTGATGTGGCTACAATACACAATGCACTGGAGGTGTTTTTTGTACAGGGCTTGGTGACCATTACCTACTATATAGTGAGTAAGAGAATATTGAAGGCTCCAGGGAGCACAGTAAGGCCTTTTGCAACTACAGATTTTCTAAAACACAGACACAACGGTTATAAAACTGTAGTGGAGTGTCTGGCTCCAATAATCCTTCACCAACTGCACTAACCTCTAATTGACAACTTTTATTCCTGTCATTAGATGAGAATGTAGAATGACACAATAGAATACCTGAAGAATAAGATTCATTAACTTCTCCTGCTCTGCTACTTGCTGAGCTCTGTCTCTCTCCATCTTTTCTGTCAACTGTTGCACGTATTTCTGATGATCCCTGTCTTTATTTTCCATCATCTCATCATATTTCCTTTGCATTTCTTGCATCATTTTTACTGTAGTCTTTGAAGATTCAGCTTTTATATGATCCACTGTGGAAGAAAAGGAAAGAAGAAAATTTAAGATTGCCATGATGTCTCCGTCTTCTGACAATGCCTGTTTGGTTGTCTGCTATTTGTTAAGTGGAGTTCTGTGGTACCAGAATTTCCCTTTGAGAGACCATGACGCCCCTGACATATCTCACTCTCACCAAGACATAGTTTGGGATGTGAAGATGCATCCTTGCTCATTTTGTTGCAAGAAGACCTATATTCTGAGGATATCCATTAATTACTAACAGACTGGTTAGTAACAGCAGTAGTAATACTGGTGTGTGTGTGTTTCTACAGCTGTCTCTATGTCTAAGTATCAATACTTTCCTATTACTTGTTAATTGTACATCAGACACACACTGAAAGTATTTTGATCTGACTTAATGGCTAAGAAGAGTTTCCTTTTAATTTAAAAAGAATGATTATTTTACTTTCTACATATAGATGATTTTGCCTGAATGCTTTACTGATGGGAGATGTCATTCTGTATATGTTTCTCATACTGGTTAATAATAAAGCATTGTTGGCCAATAGGAAAGGAAGATAGGAGGGACTAGGAGACAAGGAGGAAATAGGAAGTAGGATGGGGGTCAAGATGGAGAGTCAGGAGAGAGCAGTATGCGGCAGCCGGCTCCCAGTAAGAAGAACACGTGGACACACATAGATTAACACAAATGGGTTAATAACTAAGGCAGAGCTAGCCGATAAGAAACTAGTACCTGGCCAACAGCATAATATCAAATACAGAGTCTCTGTGTATTATTTGGGGCTGGTGCGGTAGCGGGACAAGACCGGGCGGCGGGAGGAAAAACCTGTATGCCTTACACTTTACTGCTCATGTACATGCTTTGTGCCTGTAGAGGTCAGGAGAGGACACTGGGTCCCTTGGAACTAGAGCTACAGATAAGTATGAGCTGCCATTCATGTGCTGGAAATTGAACCAGTTTTCTGGAAGAGCAACCAGCACTCTAAGGCTGAGCCGTCTCTTCAGCCCCAGAGCTTCCCTTTATATATGATCATGTATGGTTTATGGCCTATCAACAGGGATGCTCAACAGTACCTAAGAATTGCTTCACTCTTCAACGCACGAACGGGAGCAAGAGCACAGGGTTGAAGATTATTACACAGATGGAGAAGAAAAAAAAAAGAAAAAAACGCGCCTGGCAGCTCTCACTTTCCTAACATGCCCCTTAGTCACATAATTTATGACATCTTTAGGAAAAGATAAATAATTAAAATATAGAAGCCAGCAAAGGCTATACTAATCATATAATACAGTTAAAATGACATGAAAAACTTAAGATTTTACAATTTTTACAATTAATTTCATTTTGCCAACTTGTAAGTCAGTATAAATGCAATTACTCATGGCTCAGTGATGGTCTAAACATCTTCATTTCAAATATAAAGCAGTGTGAGATGTTAGATACCCTAAATTCATTATTAAAGTTTCTGGTGATTGAACCCAGGTCTTCAGGCTTCTCAGAAGTGCCTTTTATGTGGTAAGTCCTCTTACCAGCCCTCTTCTATATATATTTACATTCTATTTATAGTGCTTATACTTGTTTCTTTGTATCTCTTCTCCACATTCTTTATTTCTTCTTGAAGCTTTCTGCTCTCTTCTCGGAATCCCTCTTGGAGTAGTTGTTTCTGCTCCTAAGAGGGAAAGAAAATATTTAATTTTGCACAAAAGGTAACAAAACTTATCAAACAATTTCCAAATTAGTGCTTTAGAAATTATTAAATAATTCCCCATTCTTCTCTTGGGGTTTCAGTCTTTATTACAATCCCTGGTACTATTTTGGTCAAATGTAGTGTATATATACAGTACCTGAAAAAGTTTTAATATTAAATTCTACCATGGGATTTGTGAATCCACAGAGAATTTACTCATCATACCTAAATCCAGACAATATTTCCATCAACTGGCATTTATATAATATAGCCTTTGTTTTCATGGACACTCACCTTTCTGTAATGGCAAGTCCCAGTAATCTAGACTCTACTATAAACTGGGCAAACACCTTTTTAATTGTGCCTTCACTGAATATATATAGGCATTTCTTTGTTATTATTCACTAAAAAATAATGGATGTGGGCACCACTGACAATCATGAGGGCTTTGGAGTTATTGACCCACAATCATTGACAGACAACTCTATACATACAAGAATAATGGAAATTTAAATCTGTGACTCCCAGAATAAAGTGAAATGTCTCATCAGGGAATTTTATATAAGCTTCCAAATTTCTTATGTAGAATAAGAGATAGTGGTTGAGGACCTGAAGGACTGGTATGGCCTACAGTACATTTATGAACTGGCATTTAGTCTGAACTTATACTTGGAGAGGGGCTATGAACAGACAGGTATCGGGAGACTGGTTGTGTATCAGTTGTTGATGTGTCCTTTTCTCTAGGTGCTTCCAGAGTGAGACAAGGTGTGACGAAAATTTGCTTGCTACTTGCCCAACCTACACACATTTGTGTGAGATCTAGCCTAGAACATTTACTTAGAACAGCTCATATTACTTTCCCTCGAGATGAGGAATCAATCAACGAATGCACACTGCAGAATCACTGCATGACCACTGTTGGCTGGGTCATATACACCGTTAATGCTGCGCTACAGTTCATCATTTTGTCTCTTTTAATTGCTTAATTTAATTTTGTGACTTTTAGAACCTTCACTATACATACTCATTGTATGTGCTACTGTGTTACATAAAGACACTTTTATGTACATATATATTGTATGTTGGCCACATTGTTTTTCATGACTTCCTGCCTTTTCTCACACCTGTTCCCCCTTGTTATTTTATTTATATATTTATTTACATATTGATCCCAGTTCCCCCTCCTTCCTTCCCTCTTTCCCTCTCTCCCCTTGTTATTTTTATTCTTCCAGATAATTTTGCTTCCACATGTGCGTTCATGTATTCCTGGGACTGAAGTACACAAACACGCACACACACACACACACACACACACACACACACGGTTGTATCAATAAGAGAGGGAAAAAAAGCCAGACCAAAGCAAAATGAAACAAAAAGTCTAGCAAAATACCATTGAGTTAATTTTGTGTTGGCCAGTTATTCCTGATCTTGGGGCCTGCGCTAAAGCATGGCTGATAAACTCATTGAGACTTCATTGGAGAAAACTGCATTTTCCCTTGCCAGTGGGGTTCAATTGCAGTTAGCTTCTTGATTAGAGATGTCTAACTCCCCCTCTCGGTGGTAGGACCCTGTCTTGCTTGAGCCTTACAGGTCTTGTGTATTCTGCCAGAATCTCTGTGAGTTCATATGTGCATCAGTCCTGTTGTAATGGAAAAACATGATGTTTCCTTGGAGTAACTCATCACCTCTGGCTCTTAGAATCTGTACCACTCTTCTGCATAATCCCTGAGCTTTGGGGGATGGGTGTTGATGAAGACATCCCAGTTAGGGATGAGTGCCCCAGAGTCTCTCATTCTCTGCATACTGTCCACATGTGGTTCTCTGTGTTAATTTCCACCCACTGCAAGAAGAACCTTCTCTGATGTGGGATGAGGAAGGCACTGATCTAGGAATGTAGCAGCACATAATCAGGAGTCATTGACTTGACAGGTTTTTTTTCGCAAAATAGTAGTAGCAGGTTTTAGCCTAGGCTTGTGACCTATCTAGTCTCAGATTCTCGGCAACTTTAACTGAGTCAGGAGTGAATCTTAAATCAAGTTAAAAAAAAATAAGTTGGTTATTCCCATTGCATGGGGCTGCTGTTGCACCAATATGTCTTACAAACAGGTCATTGTTGTAGGTTACAGGGCTTATAGCTGGGTTATACTGATGATTGCCTTTCTCTTCTGTAGTGTGCGGAGTGGCTTCCAACACTGTGCATGAATGCTAGTCAGTAGGAATGAGGCTTCTGGTTAGGCACTTCTCTGTGTTTAATGGCACAAGAAAGCATTGCCTCCAGCAATAGGGCCTTGCCCTCAGATTGCAGAGGGTAGTCAAAAGACGTGGCAATGGCCTTTGATGTTTGAGGGTTTCCAAGGGGCGCCTTGTACCAATGTACATTTGTGCTCCCTCCCTCCCCCCACTCTCAATTTAGAAACTTAAATTTAGAAATTTAAATGTTTAAACTGGAGCTGTGCTATTCCAAATATTTTTAAAGTTTAAATTCTGAATGGATTTTGAAGAATAAAATAAAGTTTGTAAAATATTTGTACAATGCATTTCTGTGGATAGCTGTTGTTTGTAGTGATTCGGGGAGACACAATTCACAGGACCTTTTTTTCTTTTTTAAAATGTGATCAAGTGGCTTTGGACAGTTACCAATGCACAGTGGTGGGCACGGTAAGCTTGAAGGGGCTGCTACAGGGTATGAGCCGGGAATTATACCATGTGATTGTTTAACCCCCTACAGAGTGGTTTTGGTTAAAGATCCTGGAAGATAAAAATAACAGCGTACCTGAAGTTTAAGAGCTAATGTCTGCTCTTGCTCTGCCTTGAGCTGGATTCTGTCATTCTTCATTTTCTGAGTCAGCTGTCTCATGTGTTCCTGATAACTCTTTTCTTTCTGTTCCATCAGCTTCTCATTCTTCTTCTGTGTTTCCTCCAACAGTTTCGCAGCAGCCATTGCAGCCTCTGTTTTCTTACGCTCCACTGAGGGAGGGGAAATAAACTTTGCGTGAGTCCACAATGGGAAGGCACCTAGTGAGGGTGCTCTTTGTGGACTCATAGGTTGAGGTGTGGTGATACACTGAGGCATGACTCTGGTCAGGTAATTGGATTTAGATCATTGTGAGGATGGAGCTCCCACAGAAGCTCAGTGCTGTTGTAAGAAGATAAGAAAACCAGGGTTCAATCTTCCCATCTTGTGAGGATGCAGTGGGAAGGAAATCAAGATACTAGAGAGAGCACTCTTGGTTATCGGAGAATCCAGACTCTGGATTCTTGTTCTCCAGAACTGTGAGAAATACATTTGTTTTACCTGTGGCACCTGCTTGTGGCATTCTGTCCCAGCAATCCTCCCTGGAGGAGACACTGTTACCTTTCTTCCTATTATTATTATTGCTATTAAATGTTGGGGTTTTCTGCTCTTCTTTTTACTTTTTCTTTGTTTTTCATTCATTCTATGTCTTTTACATCATATATTTTGATCTTTGTCATTTGTGTCCACTCTCCTTCTCTGCAGCCTCCCCAAGATAAAACAAAATTTAAGAGGGGGGGGGGAGGAACCAAACAAAAAAATGTAAAGGGAAAAAAATAAGAAATCTCACCACAGAAGGTACAGTGTGACACAGACATGTAGTAAACCCCCTTATTCATGGATTTTTACTTGCAAGTGTTCATTGCACAGGGTCACTGGGCTGGTTTGAGGCCTCTGGTTTCTGCTACACTATCCATGCTGGGCCCTCACTAGGACTCTACTCAGATATCCTCTGGTTGCCTGGTGTTGTGGAGATCCTGCAGCTTTGGGTCTATGGGTCACATCCCTTCACATGCTCCGGAAGTTCATAGATAGGGTGGGCCTGTTTTATTTTATTTTATTTTATTATCTTATGTGTATGGGTGTTTTGCCTGCATGTGTATCTTTGTACCATGTGAATGTCTGTGGACGGCAGAAGAGGGCTTTTATATTGGAACTAGAGCCAGTTGTTAACCTCTAGCTGGGTATTGGAATTCAAACTGGGGTCCTGCAGAAGAGCATCCAGGGATCTTAACCATGAGACTTCTCTGTAGGCCCTTGCTGCTATTTGATAGAAAGCTTATCTCAAGGCCACTTTACTCTTGAGGTCATTGCTACCGTAACATCAGTGGCCGTGTACACCATGGTGAGAAAGAGCTTTGGGGATGGGCTCATCTCTCTCCCTCTTGGTTCAGTTTAAGAGTTACTATTTTAGTATAGGCAAATAGTCAAACTGTTATAAGATTTTTAAAGTTTTTTTTTTTTTGTTTATTTTGGTTTATTTCTTACCTTCAATCTCCTTTTCTTTTTCTGTCAGATTCTGATCTGTCTGTAAAATTGCATTAGAAACAGCCTCCTTGGATTGTAAGTAAGTCTGTAGAACCTCTTCAGCCTTAGAGTCCAGAGCACATACATTAGCATTAGTGGGAGGAAATCTATCTATGTTTCCCTACCACCCTCAAGAACTGTTCCTCTCATCTAAGATCCCTTACCACAGGAATGGGCAAACTATCCAAGATAACCAAATGGAGATCCCCTACTGGTGGATACTGGGTAGAAGTGATTTTGTACACTGAGGAGGGCCTAGGCCCTACCCCAAATGATGTGACAGACTTGGTGATCCTCCATGGAAGGCCTCACCATCCCTGAGGAGTGGATGGGGGGTTAGTGGGGCTCATGGGAGGATGAGAGGAAGAGGGAACTGGGATTGATATATAAAATATGATTGTTTCTAAATTAAATTAATTAATTAAAAAATAGACTAAGTCATATAAGTTGGAGTTGATAGTCTTGGAGGCTTACATGCTGAGACATACAGCCCTCAGGAGAAAACAGTTCAGAGAGATAAAGACATAAAGATGAAATGGCCAGCTTGTAGAGCTTAAAAGTAATAATTAGTCAATCAAAGGTGACATTTTCTGAATGTTTGGATCAAGGAGACATTCCAGCAGGGGTACAGCACACTGGTAAATGTCTTGGTTACCTGCATGCCCTTCTTTGGTTCTCCATAGTACTTTTTCTTCAGCCTGTGTGTCTCCTGAACAAAGAGGCCATAACCTCCAGGCTTAGAAAAAGTGCCATTCCTCACACGTTCTTCAAGAGGTCTGAAGATATCCTCCAGCAATGCCCAGCAACGGGTTGATGATGCTTCCAGATTGCGTTTACAAAAGTCATCCCACCTTACTTCTAGCTGCGACTGTAGTGTGAAAATGGGTATAAAAAGAACACCAGAGAAGAGTATCAACAAGGGTCAGAATTTCTCCAAGGGCTTCCCCAAACCTTGATGTCTCCAGATACTTGATTCTAGCTGAGGAAAACTGTGGCTTTTCTTTGGGCTTTCACCTTCTTACGAATCCCCTTCTTGTGAGCAATGATGCCCAGAGGTTTACACCAAACCTAGTGACCTAATGTGCAAACTTTGCTTTTAAACCGGACTGATGGTTGCTATGAATGGAATGAAGGAAAGGAAGCATAAGCCCAAGGACACAAGGAAAACTACAAGTTCATCTCTTTTGCCAAGTGGAAGAAAATTGATCCCGTCAAGTGTATAATTTGATTTAAAGCACTGACTGTTAATTTTGTGCACTTAACTAAAGTGATTATGATAAAATTATTTCAAACTTGAGTCCATATTTTTTTAATGCTTCTCTTGGGTATTATGACTCTAAAGAGGCAGCTGTCACCACTGTAAGGGTACAAAGGATGATTTCCTTCAAAATTCACACTCATCTCATTGCCTGATGTGTACTTTGCCTCATGCAATATTGACATAAAAACATAGGAGGAAATTACCCCCAGTTCCTTTTGAAATGAATGGTCTTCATCTTTAAAGGAAGTCCTGAGGAAGATTTCTATGGCCTCTCTCTCACAGGTCCTGTGCAGGTCCAGCAGCTCCTGGAGGGTCTCCATGGGCAGCTTCACCTTCTGGCTCATCTGTTGGTCATAGTGGGTGATGGCCTTTTGCACTGCAGCCGAGTTCTCTATCTTTGCCAAGGCCAGGACTGCATTCTCTATGCACGGCAGGTCTCCACTGCGGATTGCTTCAATATAGGTCAGCACTAGGCTTTCTAGTCCTATAAACAGAGAGCAAATGATGACATCCACTGAACTAGAACTTCCTTCTCTAAGGAAAAGATAAGACAGGTCTGTATATTGTATATGGATATCTCAGTCCTCCTACATGTTTAGACTGAGACTTCTCAGTTTATTCACCTGTGGTTGAGACCCCTCTGGGGTACCCTAAAACCATTGGAAATATCAGATATTTACATTAAGATTAATAAAATTAGCAAAGTTACAGTTATGAACAAAAGTAGCAACAAAAATAATTTGTGGTTGAGAGTCACCACAGCATGAGGAACTGTGTTACAGGGCCGCAGCATTAGGGAGGCTGAGAACCACTTACTATAGCACAGTAAGTCCTCTATATTTCTGCCTTGGAAAGTAATTAAATGTGTGTGAAAAACTAATATTTTCCTTACTAAAAAGTGTTCTTCTCAGTCTCATTCTAGTTCAGTGTTGATTTATAGAACCTTCTAAGGGGATCCGATTGTTAGTGGCTCTGCCTTTCAACACAGTAACCATGAGAAATGAGGCAATATAACCTAATTTTTTCACTTAATAGGCTGAATTCAATTCACTTATTTTTTATTCAAATTTAAATGAACTTACTACTGTTGGTTGGGTACTGAACAGAAGCATACGTCTTTACACGACATGAAGGAGACTTAACTTGGTTTAACTTTTTTAAACTAGGCTTTCACTACCTATTCCAGGCATAGATAAGTGTAAACTGTCTGGAACTTAACAGAAATAGTCATAGCCCCTACACTTCTGAAAGCTGGAACTTTATGAATGTTCCACCATCCCTTCCCCTTGAAATGAGTGGAAGATTAAGATGGGGACTCACGTGGGCCATTGACCAGGATGCCTCCTGGAAGAGTTTTGGTTTTGCAATGCTTAAAGATGTACAAACAGAATTCTGCTACTTGCTGCAAAAAGTCAGAATCGATCTCATTTTCTTGCAGTGTCTCCAGCTGGGAGAGCTTTTTCCACTCCGTGGGTGGATAGAAGATATAACATTTCTTCTTTGGAAAGAACTTTCGAATACAGAGTCGGGGCAAGTTGTATTTTTCAACTTCTTTGCAGGTACCTGGGAAAATAATTTTTCCAAAGGAGGGTGAATAGCAAGTGGAAGTGTTAGTTTGTCATTTAAGAATTCCTTCAGAAACTCCTCTGTGTGTTACAGTTTTGGGGTTTGTGCAGCTTTGACACATAAGTGTTGAAATAAGTAAAGAGACGAACTCGATCTGATAATAGTACTTGGAAAAAGACAGCCAAAGAAACTTCACCTTAACCTAGTTAACATTGATTCAATTGGCAGATGGTAAATAAGAACTACTTCTTAGAATAGCCAGAAACAGGGGGAAAAGACTCAATATAAGCACCCCAAAAGGATACATATTTCTGGCACTTTTTATCTACAAGTATCAATCTCTGTACCTTCTTTGAGCTTCAGAGAATTCTCCAGGTACTCATCTGCTGTGACACAGCGCCCATCTACTTCCATCTTCAAGGTCATATCTCTCAGGCTCCACACGAAGTCAGGGAAGAAGCTCACAAACTCAAATGAGTCTTCCATGTCATCTCCCTGGTCAGCTGAGGTTCTTGATCTTATCTGATCTGTCAGCTCTGTCACATAGCTGGGCAGCTAAGGAGAAGCTGTGATGACCAGCGACCCCAGTCATTTCACCTCACATTGGTCTCATCCATCCCCACACATGACTTTGCCTGTGCTGACTCAGCATGAGCTCAGTAGCTGTTTATGAGATCTCTCTTTGTGTTGGAATTACTCTATCTCCTATCTGTCTACACTGACTCTGCAGCATCCCCAGGCTGGGATGTTTTCTCCATCACAGAAAGGATACTGCAGCTGGTCCATGGCCTGCTGGTTGATGGCTCCCATGCTGTTGTACACAAAGGTGCTGCTTAGAAGTACAGCCAGGGCAAAGATCCAGCAATCATTCTGATTGTCGCCCTGGAAGTCAGAACACACTTGGGTCAGGAGTTTGTCCTGTGTCTCTTTTCAGATGAACAGGGAAAAAAATGTATGCTTGTTTAATCAGATGTTTTCCACAGTGATTAGCAAAGCTAATACTGTCTTAAAAACCTTCCAGGGACAAGTCTTAACAAAAGGAATCATGAATTCCTTTTTTTTTTTTTTTTTTTTTTTTTTTTTTTTTTTTTTTTTTTTTTTTTTTTTCTCTTTTTTTCCTTTTCCCAAAGAAATTTTAAAAAAACAAAGAAAGTTTATTTAAACCCCCACAATTAAAACAAAAAAAAAAAAACAACCAAAAATAAGGTAGAGGACACCCGAGGGGGGACCCCCCACAGAAGAAAAGAAAGGGGGGGGGAGACCCCCAAGAAAGTTCTTAGCGACCGGGGCAGAGGGTGGAGCCAACAGTCCACCCTACTCGGAGACCTCTCGGAGCAACTCCGAACAAAGGAGACCTGACTATCCACGTGGGACCACCTGTAATTTCCACCGGCTTGGTCCCTGACCCCGCCTCCAGTCCTCTGCTGGAGTCCCAGGCCCCTCCCAGAGATCCGCCTATCTCTGCGGGTCCACTTGGAGTTCCTGCAGGCAAGATCCTTGACCCCCAAATCCGGGCCCTGCCAAAGAACGAGGTCTCAGCTGGAGAGCGCCAGTTTCCAGTGAGATCCCACTACCCTGCAAAAACTTCTCAAGTTCCAGTCCAGCCCTCGTCCTCTTCTCCCGGCTATTGGCCAGAGAGAAGCCTCCTAGAGAGCTTGGACCACACAGAGATACAGACATTGAATCTTTGATCCACATAAGCCCATCTGGGAAGGACCATAGAGAGAGGGAAGAGACACCACCAACACCTACAGGAAGAAGCTATGGGAAGAAGGCAATACAAGAGAACACCTAACAACAGAAAGACAAACATGACACCACCAGAATCTAGGGAATCTACACCAACTAGAATGGAACACAACAACAAAGCAGAGGAAGCAGAAGGGTATGACTTAAAAATCACCATCATAAAAATGATAGAGGCCCTCAAAGAAGATATGAGAAAATCCCTTAAAGAAATAGAGGAAAAAACAAACAAAAAAGTGGAAGAAATGAACAAATTCCTTAAGGAAAGTACAGAAAGCCAAGAAAAAACAATTAACCAGGTGAAGGAAACGGTTCAAGATTTGAAAACCGAAATTGAGAAAATAAAGGCAACACAAATGGAAGGAAAGCTGGAAATTGAAAAGCTGGGCAAAAAATCGGAAACCACGGACACAAGCATAACCAATAGAATTCAAGAGATGGAAGAGAGAATCTCAGGCGCAGAAGATAAACTAGAAGAAATAGATTCATCGACCAAAGAAAACCATAAATCCAACAAATCCTTAACACACAATATCCAGGAAATGTGGGACACCATGAAAAGGCCAAACCTAAGAATAATAGGCATAGAGGAAGGTGAGGAAGCCCAGCTCAAAGGTGCTGAAAACATATTCAACAAAATCATCGAGGAAAACTTTCCAAATCTGAAGAAGGACATGCCCATGAAAGTACAAGAAGCATACCGAACCCCAAATAGGCTGGACCAAAGAAAAAAGACCCCTCGACATATAATAATCAAAACACCTAGCATACAGAATAAAGAAAAAATATTAAGAGCAGCGAAGGAAAAAGGACAGGTAACATATAAAGGCAGACCTATCAAAATTACACCTGACTTCTCCATGGAAACCCTCAAGGCCAGAAGGTCCTGGATAGATGTTCTAAAAGTATTAAGAGAACACGGATGCCAGCCTAGGCTACTATATCCAGCAAAACTCTCAGTCAATATAGATGGAGAGAACAAGATATTCAATGACAAAACCAGATTTTCCCAATATGTATCTACAAATCCAGCCCTACAGAAAGTATTGGAAGGAAAATTCCAACCCAAGGAAGGTAACTACGCCCACAAAAATGTAGGCAACAGATAATCCAACTACACCAGAAACCTAGGGTGAAGCAGAACAAATATATTCACAATACCACTGCCAACAACAAACCTAAATCAAACAACCATCAACAATCAATGGTCCTTACTCACCCTCAACATTAATGGTCTTAACTCACCTATAAAAAGACACAGATTAACAGAATGGATACGAAGACAGAATCCATCCTTCTGCTGCATACAAGAAACACATCTTAGCTCCAAAGATAGACATTACCTCAGGGTAAAGGATTGGGAAAAGATTTTCCAATCAAATGGAAATAAGAAGCAAGCAGGCGTAGCTATCCTAATATCTAACAAACTAGACTTCAAACCAAAACTAGTCAAAAGAGATGAAGATGGTCATTTCATATTCATCTCAGGAGAAATCCATCAACACAAAGTCTCAATTCTGAACATCTATGCCCCTAATACAAAGCCACCCACATTCGTAAAAGAAACACTACTAAAACTCAAAGCTCATATAAAACCTCACACACTTATAGTGGGAGACTTCAATACACCACTCTCAACACTAGACAGGACCACAAATCAGAAACTCAACAAAGAAACAAAAGAATTAACAGAAGTTATGTCTCAACTGGGGCTAACAGACATCTATAGAACATTCCATCCAAAGACAAAAGAATATACCTTCTTCTCTGCTCCACATGGAACCTTCTCTAAAATCGACCACATACTAGGAGACATAACAAACCTCAACAGATACAAGAGAATAGAAATAGTCCCCTGTATCTTATCGGACCACCATGCTTTAAAATTGGAATTCAACAACAATACAAATAGCAGAAAACCTGCAAACTCATGGAAACTTAACAATGTGCAATTGCACCACTCCTGGGTCAAAGAAGAAATAAAGAAAGAAATTAAAGACTTTCTAATATTCAACGAGAATGAGGATACAACATACCCGAACTTATGGGACACCTTGAAAGCAGTGCTACGAGGGAAGTTCATTGCACTAAGTGCCCATATGAAGAAAACAGAGGATAGTCACATAAATGAATTAACAGCGCAACTGAAAACCTTAGAACAGAGAGAAGCGAATTCACCCCGCAGGAGCAGACGCCAGGAAATAATCAACTTGAGGGCTGAAATCAACAAAATAGAAACCAGGAAAACAATACAAAAAATCAATGCAACAAAGAGTTGGTTTTTTGAGAAAATCAACAAGATTGATAAACCTTTATCCAAATTAACGAAAAAGCAGAGACAGAACATGCAAATTAACAAAATCAGAAATGAAATGGGGAACATAACAACAGACACAGAGGAAATCCAGACAATTTTCAGGTCATACTTCGAAAATCTGTATTCCACAAAAATTGAAAATTCAAAGGAAATGGACAAGTTTCTGGATAACTATCACTTACCAAAATTAAATCAAGAACAGACAAACAAATTAAATAGACCTATAACCCGAAATGAAATAGAAGCAGTCATCGAAAGCCTTCCAACGAAAAAAAGTCCAGGGCCAGATGGATTCAGTGCAGAATTCTACCAGACATTCAAGGAAGAACTAATACCACTACTCCTCAAACTGTTCCACAAGATAGAAACAGAAGGTTTATTGCCAATCTCTTTTTATGAGGCCACAATAACTTTGGTACCCAAACCTCACAAAGACACAACTAAGAAAGAAAACTACAGACCAATATCCCTGATGAACATCGATGCAAAAATACTCAATAAAATAATGGCAAACCGAATTCAAAAATACATCAGAGAAATCATCCACCATGATCAAGTAGGCTTCATACCTGGATTGCAGGGATGGTTTAACATACGAAAATCTATCAACGTGATCCACCATATAAACAAACTGAAAAAGAAAAACCATATGATTATCTCCCTAGATGCAGAAAAAGCCTTCGATAAAATTCAACACCCTTTCATGATAAAGGTATTAGAGAGGTCAGGGATAACAGGAACATACCTAAACATAATAAGAGCAATATACAGCAAACCAACTGCCAACATCAAACTGAATGGAGAGAAACTTAAGCCAATTCCTCTAAAATCAGGAACAAGACAAGGCTGTCCTCTCTCTCCATATCTCTTCAATATCGTACTAGAAGTTCTAGCTAATGCTATAAGACAACAAAAGGAGATCAAGGGCATCCAAATTGGAAAGGAAGAAGTCAAACTGTCTCTATTTGCAGATGATATGATAGTTTACATAAGCGACCCAATAAACTCTACCAGGGAACTCCTACAGCTGATAAACACTTTCAGCAAACAAGCAGGATACAAGATAAACTCAAAAAAATCAGTAGCCCTACTTTTTTCAGACGACAAAGAGGCAGAGAAAGAAATCAGAGAAACATCACCCTTTACAATAGCCACAAGCAACATAAAGTATCTTGGTGTAACGCTTACCAAACAAGTAAAAGATCTATATAATAAGAACTTTGTGACTCTAAAGAAAGAAATTAAAGAAGATACCAGAAAATGGAAAGACCTCCCATGCTCTTGGATAGGTAGGATAAACATAGTAAAAATGGCAATCTTACCAAAAGCAATCTACAGATTCAATGCAATCTCCATTAAAATCCCACCACAATTCTTCACCGACCTTGAAAGGATAATAATTAACTTTATATGGAAAAACAAAAGACCCAGGATAGCCAAAACAACCCTATACAATAAAAGAACATCAGGAGGCATCACCATTCCTGACTTTAAGCTCTACTACAGAGCTATAGTTCTGAAAACAGCCTGGTATTGGCATAAAAATAGACAGGTAGACCAATGGAATCGAATTGAAAATCCTGATATTAATCCATGCACCTATGAACACCTGATTTTCGACAAAACAGCTAAAATGATACAATGGGGCAAAGACAGCATCTTCAACAAATGGTGCTGGCACAATTGGATGAGGGTGTGTAGAAGACTGCAGATAGACCCATGTCTGTCGCCATGCACAAAACTCAAGTCCAAATGGATCAAAGACCTCAACATCAATCCAGCCACATTGAACCTCTTAGAAGAGAAAGTAGGAGGTACC